CTCTCTGCTTGACTGAAAAGTGCCTCCAGGCACGGATGCCTGACCTTATTTGGAACATGACCTTGGCATAGTTACCTGCACTAAACTGCCCCCAGGTTTTTTCTATATGATAATTAGGCATTGCCCTATAGCCAGATGATAGGATCCCCCTACCACATGTAAATAAAGCATACTATGAACACCTATCAGCTGAAGCTTTGGCTGCTGCCTCCACCCTATATTTTTCCCTGACCCCCCACTACATAAACCGGCTGCATCACTGAAACTGACTCCCGGCAGGTCTTTTCTGTCATGCTCACTGGCCGTCCTAACCCTGTTCATCGCTTCTGCTCCCTTTGTTCTCGTGGGTCGGTGGTCAACAGCACACAAGGGGAGGGAGAGACCCACAGTCACATTTTGTCACATACTACTATCTCTAGGGCCCATTCGTTGCTCAAAGAAAATGGTTTATTAAGGACTGCCAGGTGTCTTGGCCCATCCATTCATCTTAAATATCACTCTACCCCTAGAACTTGCCTGTATCTTCCCACTCACCTCTCCCCTATGCAGAAGGGCAGAGCGGTAGCTGAGCCTCCTTGGGTTACTACTGAGCCATCACCCTTCTGAGATTTCCTCATGCCCATTAGAAAACTGAATGCCCTTTCTCCTTGTGGTCTTCCAGTTCATTCCAGTGAACCTTTGAAGTCTAAGAAGAATCTGTCCCCGACCCTCCAGGGCCAATTTATTCATTTGAGGAGGGAGGAGTGGAGATGGTGATTTCAATACAGCTCTCAGTGGAGACATGGTTTACCATCCACAAGTCAGGGAAGGTCCTGATTTTTTTAGGGCTTCTGTTTTTTTCACTCACCCCCAAATGAAGGGTGGGCTCCTTGCCAAGGGCTCCCATGTGCCCACCTGGCGGGCAGAGCTTATGGACTATTCCCAAAGAACAGAAGCCCCCAGCTCTCCTGTGATGGGGACCATTATCGGAATGAAGGAGCGCCTTTCAAAGGCTGCTGTACTCCCTGAGATAAAAACTCTAGGAAAATTAAAGGCAGCTATTTTTAGTCTCTGGCTCTCAAGGCACTCAGAAGGCCTGGCTGGGAACACAATCAGTCACCCTGACTGGGGCCCTCAGGAGAGTGAACCTCAAGATCCCACAATTCAGTTTTTATTCCCCTTCATTTCTAGCAGCTTCCACCCACTGGTTGTTTGCTTCTACTCCGCGGTTTTTCTCAGTGTTTCCCGTCTCCTGGTGCTGTAACTGGAGGCAGGAATCACAGACTATATTTTTAAGCAATTCTCTAATGTCTTGCATAACCATCCCTGAGAAAGACGGGGAAGCCACGTGTTAAGAATGAGGAGGGATTCTGGGAGGAAGAGTCAGAGTAGTCACCTGAGGACCCACAGGCCATCTCCTTCCAGGAAGTCAGGCAGAGTACCCATCCTAGGCTGCCATTTGCTCTCTCAAAATTAGATTTGGGTAGAAGAGGGTCTTAATTATCCCAAGCAATGACAACCTTTCTGAGGCTGAATTCCATCATGAGTTTGTGTGCTGAAGTTGCCTTGTGCTACAATTTTAAAATTCTCAAGATAACCTCCTTCCACATGGCACCACGCTCTCATGGTGTGGGTGTGCAGTAAGGACCTCTCCATGCTGTTTTCAACTAGTGTAGCAGAGATAAAAGCTTCGAGAGCCAGGATATAGCATTGCCTCTTTCTCAATGATGCTTAGTGTGCTGTGCCACCTAAGTAACAGACAGACTCCAAGGCTAGGCCAGAATAAAGACCTCACGATGTACCATAGCATCTGTGTAGCCCTGCCTACTGATGGTGAAAGCTCCTGACAATACATGGAGAAACTTTATCCCTTGTTTTGGGGAGAGACATCTAAAGGGAAATAAAAGGCTAGCTGACCCACTAAAAAGCTTAAAAACAAAAACATAAACAAAAACCATGAGTTAGGCCCTTCATCTCAGATGAACACAAAACAGTTGTTTGTAGATGACTGACCAGCAAAGGACATGGTGTGATTTAACTCCAAAATGTCCTCCTTTGGGGCTAATAATCCTTGTTTGAGACTAGGGAGATGGCTCAGTGGATAAGAGGATTTTCTGCATAAGCATGAAGACCTGAGTTCGGCTCCCCAGCACCCATGTAAAACGCCAAATGTGGCCGTATGTGCCTGTAACCCCAGCACCAGTGGGTGGTAGAGACAAGGGGGTCGCTGAGGCTTGCTGGCCCCAGCCTAGCCAAAACCCAGCAAGCTCCAGGTTCAGTGAGTGACTCTGTCTCAAGGACATAAGCCAAAGACACTTGAGTTCACAGCTACACATGTGTGTATGTGTAAGTATACACCACACACATACAAAGAATTTCTTATTTGAAGGGCTGGGGAGGTAGCTCCATGTGGCAGAGTGCTTCTCTACCAGGTGCAAGGCCCTAGGTTCAATCCTCAGCACTGAAATAAATAATAAGTAAATAAATAAACATCTCACTTAGGAAATAAGGCAGAAGGACAATAAATTCAAGGTCAGCCTGGACTATGTTCAACACATCGTCATAAAAAGAAAAAGAAATCTGTTTCTTTCAATTCATAGCACCAGAATATGAATGATGGTGATAACCTTAAAGATGTGGCTTCAACAGTTTTTTATAAGGGAGTTCGTGAACGCAAGCATGCAGCAACCAGGTGATTATGAGGAAGGCAGAGCAATGTAGCCTGGCAAGATGCTTTTCCCAGAGCCACATAACAGAAGTAAAACCCATCCGAATACCAGAGCACAGTTGTCCAACTGGAGCACGAGCAATCTGTTTTTTAAGGTTCCCAGGTTAGTTCTTTTAGTCTACTGATTTTACAGCTCACTTGAAACACAGCTACAGATTTTTAAAGCTGTTTTTATTACATTTTATTTACTCTGTGTGTGTGTGTGTGTGTGTGTGTGTGTGTGTAGGTGTGTGAAACGGTGCACATGTGGAGGTTAGAGGACAACTTTCAAGAGTTGGTTCTCTCCTTCTACAATATGGTGCCTGGGGATCAAAGTCTAATGAGGCTTGGCAGTGCCTTTACTCATCACACTCACTTACAGCTACAGACCTTACAGAAAGGTTAAATCTGAGAACTTAGAGATAACCAGTTCTTTATTACTCATCTGAGAGAAGCAAAATCTAGAGAGGCCAAGTGACTTAGCCAAAGTCACCAATAATGAATAAAAGGTCTAATGGTGTGGGAACATCACTCAGTGGTACAGTATGTGACTACCATGGCTGAGACTCTAGGTTCAATCTCCAGCACCAGGCAATGAATGATGGTGATAACCTCAAAGATGTGGCTTCAACAGACCCACTCACAGAAAGGTGGTATTTCTGCATACTGGAACCACGCTGTAGGGCAGATGTTGAGTTCTCCTATGCCACACAGGATCTTTTTGTGCTCGCTTGCCTGTCTGGATTCTACTTCTGAGGGAGGAGGGCCCCTCTACTGTAGAAGGGCTGTCTCCAGCCATCTTTACTCCTTTTTATTCATTTTAATGGCTTTACAGCTATATTTTAGTCACGTAGACCCTTTGTGTAGGTAAGAATTAATGCTACGGAGCTTAATACTGTGACAAACCTCCAGACCTTTTAATGAGAATAAGATACGATCCCAGTACTGGGCATGGTAGCGCACATCTTTAATCCCAGCTCTTAGGAGGCAGACACAAGCAGATCTCTGTGAGTTCAAGGCCAGCCTGGTCTACATAGCAGGTTTCAGGCTGTACGGATACCCTGTCTCAAAAGACAAAAAAGAAAAAAAAAAAAGAAAAAAAAGATACAATCCCAGGATCTTACACATACCAGGACAGGGTTCCTGGCTGACCTGGGAAGCAAGGAGGACTCTACATGTCTCTCTGTAGGGAGCACAGAGGATGGCTGAGACAAATTTGCTAAGAATCTCTCTGTGGTAGAAAGAACTTCGCTTACTGTGGCTTTAGTTTACCCCAATGTACAACTGTAGCATCTCTGTATTTAAAAGATAGAGGACTGAACTGTATTCAGCTCACTGCTCCCACCCTCCACAGTATAAACCTCCAAAACTAGAGAACAGACTATTCTGTTGCTGTAAGACTGTCTGTGCACAGCCATGAAAGTCTGAACAGTTTCCAACACTGAGTATCCAATTCCAGTATTCCAAACGACACAAAACTATGTTTGAAACTTCAATCTGTCCAATCAATTCAAGTGTTTACTCTAGGTTTCTTTATTTTGGGGAGAGGGGTGCTAGGAATGGAACTCAGCCTCACACAGGGCTAGGCAAGCACTCTACCACTGACTATACCCCCACGCCTCAGTATTTTTTTTAATATTATTTTTTTTATGTGTATGAGTGTTATGCCTGCATGTATGTAAGTGCACCCGTGTCCTGCAATGCCTGAGGAGGACAGACAAGGCTGTCGGATCCCCTGAAACTGGAGTTACAGACAGTTGTTAGCTGCCATGTGGGTTCTGGGATTCGAACCCAGATCTTCCATAAGAACAGTGTTCTTAACCACTGAGCCATCTCTCCAGCCCCCAAGGCCTCAGTATTTTTAAGCAATTACAAAGCAAACAGGCCACATAGTTTTCAAGTAAGTGATTTTTTATTTTTCTCTGACATTTCACAGTCATTTTCTATTACTTCACACTTTCTTAAGAGAATTCACATTTGGTAAATAAATTTCTACCCTAAAGAGTTCATGGTTAGAAAACCATTTCAATATATGCACAAGAGTAGGTTGTTTGCTGAAGGAATCATACCAGAAAAGCCAGAAGATACTACAATCAATGAAAACAGTGTAGTAAATTACAAATGGAATTAAACCATAATCAATTCAACCAGCAACCTTTTCTAGATGTGCTTCCACACTGCCAGTAAAATCTGCCAAAGGTTCTCTTAAGGATTTGTCTGAGCTAAAATTGGCTTCTCACCTTGAGAAAACAACAGCCTGCACAGTACTTCATAATGACTTACAGCATGCACCACTGAAGCCATCACTACTTACAGCCTTGAGCAACCAATGCAGATCTTCCTGGTTCACTGCCGGCTTCCTCCATGGGCTGGTCTGGCCTCTGGCCTCAAGAGATTGCTCCTTTCAAGATCTAGCTTCTCTCCTTGGGTTCATCTGCTTCCAGCTCCACTAAAAAAACACCATACTAGCAGTCTAGAGACTTCAAGCAAAAGCTTAAGATCACAGAGCAGACACTGGGGGCGCTAACCCTCCCCAACACTCAGCATTGAAGATCAACAGTGGTTTTCATGATCTTTCAGCCTCATCTAGCAGGAAGAGTCCAAGAGGCTTACAGCTCCACGGAGGGTTTTTCCAGTGGAATACATTTGGTTCTCAGCAAGGGCGTTCAGCTTTCTGACACTCAGTAAGACTCATGACTGGTACCCAGGCTGTTCTGAGAGCACCTGTCTCTATAGCTTTCCTGCCAAACATTCTGCCAAAAAGGAAGCTTCCTAGCATGGGGCAGAGTGAGGCGGCTCCAGTACCATACAGATTCCAGGGAGGCAAGGCAAGCTGGCCAAGAGAAAAATATTACAAGGAGCTGAGTCTGCCCAGAGACACAGTTGCTCTGATTTTGGAAACTTTCCGAAAGCAAACAGCAGGTAATAATTCTGTGTTGATCAGTGAGTAGAGAGATTTTACCAAGTTGAATATTACTAAATAAGACATATCTAAATCAAATGCCTTTGTGAACACAGTATTGTCAACCTGAGCCTTATGATTTTTAAACTATGTTAGTTACAACTAACAACCTAATAAATATGATCATTACCTTCTGGGCTTAGTAACCCTCAAGAACATTTTCTTTGGGGAAAAAAAAGATGAAGCTGGTCATAAAAACTTCAGGTAATTTGTAAAGAACAAAGATTTTTAAGAGGATGAAAAATTTAATCAAAATCTTTTCCTTAGATACCTAGTTACAGATACACTGAAGTTGAAAAGAATGTGTATCATCTGGAAATTGGCATCACATTCTCCATCTTGAGACAAGCATCACGGTAGTAACATCACACCTTTGCTCTGCAGCCCACAGCTCTCCTTCAGTACATGGGAGATAAGAACCCAGGAGACAAAAATGAGTAAGAATCCTTTCCAGTTTTTGTTTTGTGGCCTTGTTATCAAAACCTCAGGATTTTATGTAATTTAAAATTTACAAGCATAATCACTTCTTCCCTCTCATAAAAACAATTAGGGGAGGGACAAACAAGGTGGCAGCCAAGGGTAATTTGCACCACACCTGAGGAACCACCAGGGCTATCTCAAGGTTTTCATCCTTTTGCTTTGTTTTGTTGTTCCTTCATTTTTTTAATTTTTAAATTTATTTATTTATCTATTTATCATGTGTGTATGCAGGTGTGTGGAGGTCAAAGGACAACTTTCACCTGTCAGTTCTCTCCTACCAGTGGGTTCTGAGGATTGAACTCAGGCTGTCAGGCTTGACAGCAAGCACCTTTACTCACTAAGCCATCTCTCAGCCCTATTTCAGGTGTCTGAGACGTAAGACAAGCTGTGCTATTACAAACATGAATTAAAATCTTCTAGCTGATGACCAAAAAAATGCTGGCCAGGGCTATTTCTTTGATCCCTTAATCAAAAAAGCAATTCATCAAATACAATTCCAGATGGTACTAAATCCATTCCATATCTTAAAAATCTGAAATATTTTCCCTACTTGTTTAAGTGAAATCTGATGAGTGGTTAAAGTATATGAGTGAAACAGTACTTCTTTTTCTCCTTGACTTTCAAGTTTAAGAAACTAAAGGTTGGCTGGGCATGGTGGCGCACACCTTTAATCCCACCACTTGGAAGACAGAGGCAGGCAAGGTCTTTGATCCCAACACTCAGGAGGCAAAGTATTCAAAACCAGCCTAGCTTACAAAGGAACACTTTGTCTAAAAAAAAAAAAAAAAAAAAAAAAAAAAAAAAAGAAACTAAAGCTTTACGTGATGAAGTGCTTATACCCAGACACAACCTGTGCCCAAAGCATTTTAGGTTTTGCCCAACTGGCACAATGCCTGGTAGAACGCAAACACACCTCTTATATTTTCCCTGTGACTAGGATACTTGAGGGAGGACCCACAAAGGGATCCTTAGGTCACCTACTCCTTGGTTTGACAGGTCCTGTTACTGAACCTTGGATCCTTAGTGAGTGGGATGGTGGGAGGTGACAGCTGGAACAGCCCCAGGAGTCTTCTCTCCTTTGTCCCATCCTCTAAGTGTCTGCAGGCTAAGGAAAAGGGACTCAAGGACACTCCCAATTGGAGGTCCTTGGAGGAACACAGATAAACACAACCTGTGCATGGACCACCAGTTATGACAGCAGCCAGACACTGCCATGTGGCTTGATGAATTTAGGAGGAAAAGCATAGGCTGTGGGAAACAGGCGTAGATAATAGCAAAGAGTTCAAAGAACCACTCAAATAACTGGAAAATGCCTCTGTGCTATATGTCTGGGTGGTCAGACAAGGTGTCCAGGTCACTGCCTGAATGACTGGACCCAGATGTTAGTGATGCCTGCAACTTGGCCCATGCCTGAGGGGCCCTGCTCTTGGTAGCCTCTATAAATAGCTGGGTTTGCTCCTTTAGCTGGTCTAGTTCCACCTGAGTTGCCTGGTTCTGACGAATCAACTCCTTGGTTTTCAAAGTGATCTCCAGCAAACCAGACTTGTGCAGGACCACTAAGGTATTCTGAAAGCGCCTGTGTTTGCTCTGCCTCTGCTCTGAAAAGATGTCTGGGCTGCGACAGAGGTGCTCCGAGGCCCACAGAGGTGAGCTGTAACTGGCCGACAGTGGTGAAAGAGGGGAGCTGTTCTCTAAGCCATGCAGAGTGCTGTCTGATGCACAGACAGGACTGGCAGGGGAAGCAAAAGTCAGACTGGGAGCCTTAGCCACATGACTACTGGACACAGGCTGCAGAGTCTGTGGACTTCCCCCTGCCACCAAGGAGGGCACTCCTTGCAGAGCTGAGTCCTCAGTGAGTTTGGCACTGGGTGGGACTGGAGTCAACGGACTGGATGGCACAAGACCAGTCTTAGTCGGCTCTGTGAAAGACAGGCTGGGCGCCAGTCTCTCGGTACAGATTTTCTTTGACATCCCACTTGCTCCTCTTTCTTCTGGGCTGAGGGAAAGGCCCCTTTTGCCTGGATGTGGGGCTATTTTGGTGTAAGAATTTAGAATGGGTAAGTAGTTCCTGGAGTCTGACTTTTTCTCACCAGCATGGCATGGGCTGACAGGAGATGGCACAGGTGGATGAAGGACAAAGAGCTGTGGCTGTGCTGAGATCACTTCAAAGGAGGGCTGGACAGTCCAGGACTGGAGCTGGGACGAACTGTTGCCCTGCAGACAAAGGAAGAGAACAGCTCCTCGTCAGGATGGAGGAGTGTGGCTTCTGCCTTCTGCAAAGCAGGCAGACATTCAGATGTATATTGCTGTTTCAAGTGCACACCACCTTATGCCAAGGGAGCCCACTTTATCTGATATCACATATTAAAAAAAAAATAAGCAAACAAAACCTTTCCTAAGGGAAAACTTGAGGAACTGTTTTTAATCAAGGGCTATCACTCAGATAAAAAGTTTGAAGCAGGTGAAGTTGACATTGTTAAGGTCACGATTTAGGTAATAAAAATATAGGCAGTATAGTTTCCTGGCAAGAGTTTAAAGATCCTAAGCCCAAGCTGGGGTGTAGCTCCACTGGTGGAGTACTTGCCTAGCATGCATGGAGTCCTGGGTTGAGCCCCAGGACCATATAAAGAGATGCCTATAATTCTAGCACTAGGGAAGTGGATGGAGGAGGATCAAGAGTTCGAGGCAATTCTCAGCTACAGAGGAGTTCAAGACCAGCTTGGGCTATCTGAGATTCCATCTCAAAACAAAAACAAAAACAAAAAAACCCAAAATTCTGAGACTACTCCATGAGGCCAGCTTGCCACTGAGCCTCCTGTCTCCTGCAGCCTTTCCAGCTATCTGTGCATACCAGGCTCTGCTGGAAAAGCCTCCTTACTCCTGAGCATGGGCTGCACACTCCTATGGAGCCGCCACCCCAGCCTGCAACACAGGTGGCTCATCAGCACAGCTGCACAAGGAACTAGAAAGCCAGAGGAGCCAGGAAGGAAAAGAGGCAGGAAAGACAAGGGCCGTAGCCTGGGGCAGCTGCCCGGTGCCTCTCGGGCCAGGACCATTTCCTCTCTCCATGCTCTCATCTCCTTTCAATACGGAGAGTTAGGGCTGGAGAGATGCCTCAACAGTTAAGAGCACTGACTGCTCTTGCAAAGGACCCGAGTTCAGTTCCTAGCATCCATATGGCAGCTAACAACCATCTGTAACTCCAGTTCCAGGGGATCTAACACCCTCTTCTGACCTCCATGGGCACTGCATGGCATGGGTGCACTTACATACATGTAGACAATACACTTAGACACATAAAATAAAAATAATATTTTTAAAAAATTACAGAGAGCTGAGGCTCCAGCTGAGACTCAATTTACCAAACAAAATGTTCAAATTCTTTCACAGGGCCTAGCAGGCCACCTACTTTTTGGAAACTCAGTTTATGTTCCTCAGACAACCAAGTAATGTTAACACACTAAGACTTCCCATCATGCCCTAGCCATGTTCCTGTAACCTTCAGCCTAAAATGGGAAGGTCAATACCAAAACCAGACTTCCAGTTTCACAATACTTAAGTACAAAGTAGACTTGTCAAGGCAAGAACTGTGATCTATTTTCAGAGTAAGTAGTATAAGCTTAAATATTTTCTTAAGTCAGTCTTTTTCATTCCTCAGACTTTTCTATTCTAACTTAAAAACCAAGTTTTTATGATTGAGTTTTCAGTTTCAAATACTGTAGTTATTTTCATCAACTAGTATTTCTTTTTTTAAAATGATTTTTATCTATTTTTATTTGTACAAGTTTTTGGATTGCCGCTATGTTTATTGGTACGTGTGTAGATGACCACAAAGGCTAGAAGAACCACCATGTAGGTGCTGGGAATCAAACCTGGGTCCTCTGGAAGAACAGCAAGTGCTCTTAACCCCCAAGCCACCTCTCCAGTCCTCATCCACTAATATTTCATATCTAGACAATAATCACACAATGTACATAGCTCTGTATTAAAGTTTAATAGAATTTTATCCAACTAGGTCTCCAGTGAATGGTGAGGATGCTGTGGGCATTGCCATTCTCAACCCAAAGAGCTGCTCTGTGACTAAGGCAAGGCTTTAGCTTGGAAAGTGCCTCAACTTCTGAAACAAAGATGTTGTTTTTGTTTTTTATAATTTTGGTTTTGATACACTGTCTTATTCTGTAGCCCAGGCTGGCCTCAAACCTGTAATTCTCCTCTGGCCTCAGCTTTTCAAGGGCTAAGATTACAGGAATGTACCACCACACAGGTTTACAAACATGTCTTACATTTCTAAATTCCCATGACAGTTCAAACTGAAAAGAATCTTAGGGTTGGACATGTAATTCAATGGTAGTGCACTTATTTAACGTACATAAGGCCCTGGGTTCAATCCCCAGCATGGCAAAAAAAAGACTCCTTTGTTTCTACTCTAAACTTTATCTCTTGTTAAATGTACCACTGAAGTAACCTTTGGGGTTGGTTCCTTTATATATTACTTACTAAAGCATTTCAAGGACCCTTTGGAAACTAAAAGTTTAAAAATAAAGTAGTCCATCTCACAAATAATATAAATTTTGACTCCTGTACTTCTGGTTTTTGTTTTTAGTGTTTCTCTCTCTCTCTCTCTCTCTGTTTGTGGTGTGGTGTGTGTGTGTGTGTGTGTGTGTGTGTGATGGGGGATTGAACACCAGGACTCCACATGATAGGTAAGTGCTCTACCACTATGCCACACCTCTAGCACCTGAACTCCTTTTAATAACAGTGTCAGTAAGGCTGGAGAGATGACACAGTAGTTAAGAGCACATACTACTTTTCTAGATGACTTGAGTTCAGATCCCAGGACCCATATTGGGAGGCTCACAACTGCCTGTAACTCCATCTCTAGAGAATCCAATGCCTTCTTCTGACCTCCAAGCGAACCTACACTCACATGCACATACCTACACTCAGACACACACACCCATACACATAATTTAAAAAACAAATCTTTTTAAAAAATTTTAATAAACCACTGTGAGCAGCTGAAAGGTGACATCCGCTCCAGGGCAGAAGGTACACTTCAGTATGTTTCAGACTGCTTCTGCAGTCTCTCCCTGCAGAGGAGTGTATACATAGGAAGCTCAGAAACCTGCATCTGCAAAGACTGGGTCATACTGGTCCTTCTCACCTGCTTGACCAGCACATTCTTCATGACGACCATGGGGGGCAGGGTAGGGAAGGCGTTGCTTGCAGCTCTGGAGCTCTGCCTCAGCCTGTCCTCTCGGCTCCACCCCAAGGCACTCAGCATGTCCTCTGACTCCATCTGCTCTGCGGAGCTCAAACATTCTGAGCTCCCATCTGGTGGTAAGAAAAAATGGTCAGTTCACTTAGGCTCCAGGCTATGGGCTCATAGTCCAGCTCCTAAGGCACCATGGACTCTTTAAAACAGAAAGGAATATGTGTTACGTGTTCCTGTGAATTTTCTGAGACTGGTAAATTTCACTGGATTTTCAGTGGGATCCATAATTACCCCTCCCACTCCTAATGATGAAGCAGAACTGCTCTGCTTGGCGTTCTCTGAAATATTACAGACAAAAACCTGCATCAATTACGGTTCATGTGAAAGTAATCACCAGCCCACATTGAGAAATTAGTTGAAGACTTCAAAGTTAGTCTTTACTTTTATTTTTAAGCTTTTTAAAATATATTTTTTATTGAATTTTTGTGCATTTCAGGTAATACATCTTCATTGTATTTAGATCCCCTCCCCATCTGTACCTCCCCATAGCCCCCGTACCAGACTTCTCATGCATTCTGTCATACATACTAAGGCCTATGGAGTCAAATTTGTGTTCCTAGATGTGCCTCTGTGTGAGTTCATCAACCGGAGCCTGGTCAGCCTATCTAGCATCAAGCCCTTAAAGAAGACCAACTCTTCCAACTCTTCCTCACCCAACAGTGATCAACTGCCTCAGCTAATGTCAAGGCCTCCTGTCCATTTCCCCAGTTCTGTGCTGGGTTTTTGTCTGGTTTGAGTTTGCATGGATCTTGTACATGGTGTCACCATTGCTGTAAGTTCATATGAGCAAGTTCCCAGAAGCCTGGAGGTCTCTTTCCTTATAGTCATGTACCACCCCTGGCTCTTAAAACTCTTTCCACCTCCTCTTCCAAAATGGTCCCTGAGCCCTGGGTAGGTGAGGTTTAATACAGGAGTCCTATCCAGGGACATGCACTCTGCATCTCTTATTCTCTACACTTTGGCCAAGTGTGGTCATCTGTGCTAACTGCCTTCTGTTGTATGAAGAAGCTTCAGTGATGAGAGTTGAGAGATGTATTAGTAGTCTCTCTACCCCTCATTCTACTATTCCATGAGCCTTAGATATAGAGGTTCCATTGTAGATGTATCACCTAGGGCTGGGCATCTCACAGACACTTTTTATTACATTCATTCATTCATTCATTCATTTATATGCTTATTTCTATGTAGGGTGGGCACATGTGTGCTACAGTGCACCTGTGAAGGTCTGAGGACAACTGATGAAAGTCAGTTCTGTCCTTCTACCATGTGGGTCATGGGGATCAAACTCAGGTTGCCAGTCTTGGTGGCAAGCACCTTTACTCAGAGTTAACTCACTAGCCCTAAGGCATTGCTTTCAAAATCTGTTGTTGAAAGCTGGGCGTGGTGGTGGTACACACCTGTGGTTCCAGCACTTGGGAGGCAGAGGCAGGCAGATCTCTGTGAGTTCAAGGCCAGCCTGGTCTACACAGTGAGTTCCAGGACAGCTGGGGCTACAGGGAGACCCTATCTCAAAAAAAAAAAAAAGACGACCAAAAAAAAAAAAAAAAAAATCTGTTGCTGAATCAAGGTGTGGTAGCACATGCCTTTAATCCCAGAACTCAGGAGGCAGAGGCAGGATCAGCCTGTTCTATACAGTGAGTTCCTGGTCAGCCAAGGCTACACAGTGAGACCCTGTCTCAAAAATATAAAAATACAAATAAAAAATCAGTTGTTGAGAAGGAGGGAAAATTCTGTCCCCAGGCGAAAGGAAGACCTTCAGAGGCTCTGGGTATCAGAAGATATAAATATAAAAAGCAAAAAAAAATTTACATCCATGATAAAATGAAAATAGCTTTGTCCTGAATGTTCTGATTATAAAATTCTGTAACTTTGTGTAATAGTTAGTGTTAACTGTTAACAAAAATTGAGAATCATCTAGGAGATAAATCTCCAGGTATGCCTGTGAAGGATTATGTAGATCAAAGTTAGCCTCTGAGGATATCTGTGAGTTACCTTGCTTAGGTTAATGTTGGAAGACTCATCTTTTTTCAAAAATGTATATGAGTATATTGCCTGCATGCACGTAAGTATTCCTGGTTCACTGCCGTGGGAACAAGCCACTGCCTGCCTCACACTCCTACCTCCTTAGATGGAGCTATCATTAGACCTTCCCTGCCACTATGGACTGAGGCCTTCTGAAACTATGAGCCAACATAAACCTTTCTTCCCTTCAATTGTTTCTGTTAGGTATTTTGGTCACAGTGATATGAAATAACAAATACAGATGCTCTCCAAAGCAAAAATATGCATGTTCTATGTTAATTCCACATAAAAGGAATGTAGTTAGACACCCTCAGAAATAAACCACGGAACTGTTATACCCTGCTGTTGAGGAGTCCAGGACTATCCTAAATGCTCATCAAGATGTAGCTCAGTTGACAGAGAGCTTACCTAGCATGCATAAAAGCCCTGGGTTCAATCTTTAGTACCACATAAGCTGGGTGTGATAGCATATACCTGTAATATCAGCAATCAGGAGGTGGAGGCAGGAAGATCTGGAGTTCAAATACATAGAGAGTTCTTAAGGCCAGCCTGTGCTACAGTACATGAAATATTACCTAAAAAAAAAAACAAAAAACAAAAAACAAAAAAACAGGTGTGATGGCACATGCCTATAATGGCTCAGGAGGCTAAGCCAAAAGGATCACAAATTCAATGTCAGCCTTAGCTACACAGCATGACCCTGTCTCAAAAAACAAACAACAAAACCCCACAAGAAATCTGAGTAACATGAATGATGCATGACTGAAAGTGCAATTTTTTTTTTCCAGAAAGTGTCTTAGTATGAAGCCCTGGCTGCTCAGGAGCCCCCTATATAGCTCAGGCTGGCCTTAAACTCAGAGATCCATATACCTCTGCCTCCTGAGTGCTGGGATTAAAGGTATGCACCACTATGCTGGCCCTTTAAGAAAATTTTTAAGATTTTTACTTTAAATTGTTTGTGTGTGTGTGTGTGTGTGTGTGTGTATACATATGAGTACAGAGGCTAGAGGCATCGGATTCCCTGAAACCAGAGTTACAGGCAGTTGTAAGCCACCTGATGAGGGTACTGGGAAATGAACTCAGGCCCTCTGCAAGAACAGTACCCACTCTTTTTCTGCTGAGTCATCTTTCCAGCTTGTAGTTAAAATTTAAATAAACGTAGCCATCAGCAACTGCATTTTGTGCAACTTAGCAAAGATTGTATGAACAGAAAGACATTTACCAATAGAAGTATAATTCAGAATGTCTAGTGACATGTCTCAAAAATTATAGCCAATGGATTCCTCCCCTTGATCTAACAAGTAATACAAATGTGTGTTTCTAGTTAAAAACTACTAGACTTGAAACAAATGATTTCAGAATCAATGGGCATACCTTGTTATTCCTGGGACTTTGGAGTCTAAATACCCCTCCACACATAAAGAAAGCAGGGGCAGCCAGGCATGGTGGCACACGCCCTAATTTCCAGCACTTGGGAGGCAGAGGCAGGCAGATTTCTGTGAGTTTGAAGCTAATCTGGTTTACAGACTGAGTTCCAGGACAGCCAGGGCTACATAGTGAGACCCTGTCTCAAAAAAAATTTTTTTAATTAGAAAGAGAAAGTGAGAAACCCAGGGTCCTTGGAGAAAGAGTTGACTTCAAGTCTTTGGCTGAAAAAGCACAAGATGAGCCTAGACAGTTTGTTGTCCCAGAAAGCAAAAAGGTGCTCAAACATGAGGGAAAATACGTTGTATGAGCCAGGGACTACACCTAGATGGGACTCTCACCACCAAATCTGAGACAATGTAAGTACCAGAAATAATGATGCTAATGGATCACAAACTGAATTACAAAAGAATTATACAAATCCACAGTGATACTCAAAAAGAGAACAGAGAGGGGAAAATGCTTCTTTACAGAAGAGTTCCAACTGATGGGAAAAATGACAGCATTAGAGAATCGCAACTTTTAAGGCACTAGTACAGTATCTGATTCAAGCAAAGATCATCACTGGATGCTAAAACACTGGCCAAGAATTTGTGGGAAGTCAGGAAGAGTGATGCATACTTGTAATCCACCAGCACAAAGGAGGCTAAGATGCCCAGGTTGTCCTTGAACTCATTCTGTAGCACAGGCAGGTCTTAAACCAGCCTCAGCCTCCATAGGACCTGGGATTCCAGGCATGCACCACTAGGCCCAGCTAAAAGGTTATTTATACTAAAGGAATCTGGTATACATTGCCTTTTAACCAAGCGACCAATGTCATAAAGGTGGAAAGATGGGAGAGCCGTTTTAGATTGATAAGACAGGACAGCCAAATGCCATGCACAACCTCAACTGGATCCTGGGTCCAAAACAGACAGACAAGGACAAATAGCTACACAGGATGTTACTGGGACAGTGAGAAAAATCTGAGTAGACTATGATATTGGTTCTGTCAGCACTACCTTTCTCAGGGACGATAACCAGGCTATCATTACACAGAAAGTGTCCTTGCTTTTATGAGATTCATACTAAAGATTTAGGGGTGAAATGATCATTGTTTCAAATTTACTTTCAAACAGCTCAGCCAATGTGTCTGTATGTCCAGAGAGAGAAAGAGAAGGGGGGGGGGCGGGGGAGATATGACAAAATGAAAATCTTTCTTGTGGGAAATTCATTCATTTTTGTATAGGTTTTAAATTTCCCAACTGCCAACAGTCCTGGGAATGGTAAATGGAAGGACTCTGTATATTTATTGTCTTCTCTGACTTTCCTAAGTTTCTAAGCTTTTACAATGAGCATGTATTACCTCTAATGAAATGGAAACAGACAAGAAGTAAATGAGATCTTGAAAGAGACTCTCCAGGAGGGTCTGGGATTCACATCTATTAATGAATGTCCCAGGTAAACTTCAGGAGGAGGCAAGCCTGGAAAACAATGCTCTAATTCGAGAAAGGATCCAAAGTGCTGCAGGTTGGCCAGCCTTCCCTAGACTGTCCTGGCCCTGGACAGGACACTAATTCCTCTGTTCTAATCCCTTGGTCAGTGCTATCCCTCTCTGAAAAAGTCTATTTATAATTCAGCTGCTCATTCAGCATGCTTATGAGATAAAAATATACCAATCAAAGGGGAGACTTCTAGTTTTCTTAACAGCAGCATTTGGATTTGTCTCTGGGATCCTGGGTAATATATGTGAATCGTGCCGTAGGAACGCTCCATTCTCAGGCTATTGAGCCTGAATCCCCTGGCATCACCCTGAGAATCTCCCAGGACAAAAATGTTGATATTAGTTCAATATTTTAGGATAGTTCAAGCCACCACCCTCAGACCTAGAAATAAAAAACAGCCTCAGCACAAATTTAAGAGACTCATGGGGAATGTGGTCAGCTTTTTTCAGGGAAGCCTTAAAACAGCTAATAATGAAAGCTGCTCTACTTTCTTATCTCTAATAGAGTTAACTGGACCAGGTAGCTCACAATCCAAACATGAAACACATAGATATTAGGAAAGATTACTAGAGAGAAGAGACTTTTTTTTGGTCCTTTTTTTGAGACAGGGTCTCCCTGCAGCCCCAGCTGACCTGGAACTCACTATGTAGACCAGGCTGGCCTTGAACTCACTATGTAGACCAGGCTGGCCTTGAACTCACTATGTAGACCAAGCTGGCCTTGAACTCACAGAGATCCACCTGCATCTGCCTCCCAAGTGCTGGGACTACAGGCGTGCGCCACCATGCCCGGTTGAGATGAGACTTTTTAAACACAGCAAAATAACTTTCTAAGCAAATATCATCTTAACAAATTGTATAGTCACTTAACCACAGTGAGAGACCACATATAAGATGGTGACTATACCACACAGCCTAAGTATGTAATAGGCTATAGCATCTAGGTTTGTGAAGGTACACTCTAGTGTCAACACAAGGACAAAAATCATGTAAGGATCCGTTTCACTGTAAGTAATATATGACTACACTACTTTTAATTGGCAGCCTTCAAATTGACACATGGTAACAAGATGTGGTAGGACTTTTCTTTCTCCCTGCAATGTAAATATTCCTATAAAAGGAGTTTAAGCTGGGTGTGGTGGCACACACCTTTAATCCCAGCACTTGGGAGGCAGAGGCAGGTGGATCTTTGTGAGTTCGAGGCCAGCCTGGTCTACATAGTGAGTTCCAGGACAGCTGGGGCTACAGGGAGACCCTGTCTCAAAAAGACAAAAAGGAAA